CAGATTTTTCCGCCTGGGCTGGCTTTAAACCGTGATCCTCAGATCTCAGCCTCCTAAATAGCTAGGATTATAGGCATAAACCATCGGCGCCTGGCTCCTTGAGCTTCTTTTCTTCAAGGCTAGCACTCTACCACTTGAGCCTCAGTGCCACTTCTGGCTTTTTCTGTTTATATGCCACTTAGGAATTGAACCCAGGGCTTCATGAATGCTAGACAAGCACTCTACCAGTAAGGCACATTCCCAGCCCTCTCTTTTTTTTTTTTTTGGTCAGTCCTGGAGCTTGAACTCAGGGCCTGGGCTTTATCCCTGAGCCACTCTCTGCTCAAAGCTTGGGCTTTACCATTTGAGCCACAGTGCCATATCTGGCTTTTTCTGTGATACTGAGGAATCGAACCCAGTGCTTCATGCATGCTAGGCAAGGACTCTACCACTAAGCCACATTCCCAACCCAAAAACCTCTTTGTTGTTGTTGCTGTTGTTTGGGGCTTGAACTCAGTACTTAGGCGCTGTTCCTGAGCCTTTTTGTGCTCAAGGCTAGTGTTCTACCACTTGAACCACAGTGCCACTGTGATGTAATATTCTCTTTGTGACTTCATGACCATTGTGTCCCTGCCCACAAAAAAATGATCAATTTAATAAGTTTTTGGAGCTGGGTGCCGGTGGCTCACACCTGTAATCCTAGCTACGCAGGAGGCTGAGGTCTGAGGATCATGGTTCAAAGCCAGCCCGGGCAGAAAAGTATGTGAGACTCTTATCTCCAACAAACCACTCAGAAAACCGGAGGTGGTGCTGTGGCTCGAGTGGTAGAGCGCTAGCCTTGAGCTGAAGAGCTGAAGCACACAGCACTCAGGCCCGGAGTTCAAGCCCCGGAGTTCAATTTTTTTTTTTTTTGAGTACAGTTAGTATTAGGCACATAGAGTACAATGGGTATTCAGTGCATTCACACTGCAGTTTGGAATAGTGCACATACTTGAATCTTAGATACTCTGGAGCCAGAAGTAGAAGGATATAGCAAGTCAAAGGCCAGCCTGAGCAAAGTTAGTAAGACCCTTTTTCAAAAACAAACAATTGTGGGACACTGGTGACTTATACCTGTAATCTTAGCTACTCAGTAGGCTGAGATCTATGGATGGTGGTTTAAAACCAGTCCAGGCAAGAAAGTCTATGAGATTCATCACCACTTAACCACCAGAAAACTGGAAGTGGAGCTGTGATTCAAAATGGTAGAGCACTAGTGTTTTTTTTTTTTCTTCCCAGTCCTGGGGCTTGAATTCAGGGCCTGGGCACTGTCCCTGAGCTTCTAGTATTCTACCACTTGTACCACAGTGCCACTTCTGGCTTTTTCTGTTTATGTGGTACTGAGGAATCAAATCCAGAGTTTCATGCATGTTAGGCAAGCACTTTACCACTAAGCCACATTCCCAGCCCTGGGACTGCTAGCCTTGAGTGTAAGAGTTTAGAGACAGTGCTCAGGCTCTAAGTTAAGACTCATGACTGATTAAAAAACAATGGGCTGGGAACATGGCTTAGTGGTAGAGTGCTTGCCTAGCATGTGTACAGCCCTGGGTTTGATTCCTCAGTACCACATAAAAAGAAATGTAGTGCTCTGGCTCAAGTGGTAGAATGCTAGCCTCCAGCAAAAGAAGTTCAGGGACAGTGCCCCGGCACTGAGGTCAAGCCCCTGGACTAGCAAACAAAACAAAAAACCCCCAAACAAACAAACAAAAAAACACAAAGCAACCTAGGCACTGATTCAGGTGTATAATCCAACCTACTCCACATGTCAGAGATTAGGATGATTGGAGGCTAGTCCAGGCAAAAAATTCAGAGATTTATCTCAACAGTAAATGCTGGGTGTGGTGGTTGTGTCTGTCAGCTCAGCTATGGTAGTAGGATTGTAATTTGGACTGGTCTGGGCAAAAAGTGAGACCCTAGGGCTGGGAAGTTGGCTCAGTGGTAGAGCACTTGCCTTGCATGCCTGAGGCCCTGGGTTCGATTCCTCAGTACCACATAAGCAAAAAGAAAAAAGCCGGAAGTGGCACTGTGGCTTAAGTGGTAGAGTGCTAGCCTTGAGCTGAAGAGCTGAGGTACAGCACTCAGGCCCAGAGTTCAGGTCCCACAACTGGACCCCCCCCCCCCCAAAAAAAAGTGAGACCCTACAACTAAACAATAGAGCAAAAAGGCTTGGGCATGTGACTCAAGAGGTAGAGTGTCAGGCTAGCATGTACCAGGCTTTGTGTTCAATCCCTAGAACTGAAAAAATAAATTGGCTAGGAATTGTAGCTTGCATTTTAGAGCACTTGCCTAAACAAGTTCAAGGGCTTGGGTTTAATCCTTATTATTGCAAAACAAACATTCACATTGTTCAATTGTTGGTTTTTGATTACTGAGTTAATCTGTTATATGTTTATTCAGTTCTATTTCTTTCTTGGGTTACTTATGACAGTTTATGTGTTTCTAGGAATTTGTTCGTTTCACTTCCTATATAATTTGTTGACATATGGTTTGTACTAGTTATTTCTTTTTCTTGTCACTCTAACCATACCCAGCACCGAGGATCCAATCCAGGACCTCATATTTTCTAGACAAGTGCTCTTCTACTGAGCATGTCAATATGACTAGGTTGCACTCTCCAGATAGCTAATGAAGTATTTGTGGTGTTTCTAGAAGAGCTTATAATTTGAACCAGTGGACTGAGTAAGAAAGGTCTGCCCTTGCCAACAAGATGGGCACCATCCAATTCATGGAGAATGGAAGGAAAGGTATAGAAAGGCTGACTTGGAAGGATGACTTATCTCCTGAGGCTGGAATGCCCATCTTCTCTTGCCCTGGGATATGAAACATCTTGGTTTTGAAGTCTTCAGACTTAGCTCCCTCTGAGTCCCAAGGTTTTTTGTTTTTTTTTAATCGGTTGTAGAACTTAAACTTAGCGCCTGGGCACTGTCCCTGAATTCTTTTGCTCAAAGCTACCACTCTACCACTTTGAGCCACAGTTCCACTTCTGGTTCTTGAGTGGTTATTTGGAGATAAGAGTCTAACTAGGATTACTGGTACCTAGCAGGTCCCAACTTTATAGACAGTAAATCATAGGACTTTGTGTGTGTGTGTGTGTGTGTGTGCCTGCGCGCACGTGCGCGTGCGCCTATAGGGCTTGAACTCAGGTTCTGGGCATTCAGTTCCTAAGATGTTTTTTTTTTTTTCCTCAAGGCTAGCACTCTACCACTTGAGTCACAGTTTCACTTCCAGCCACTTGAGCCATAATTCCACTTCAGCTTTTGAGTGGTTTAGAGATAAAAACAAACAAACAAACAAAAAAAACCCAAGGACTTTCCTGCCCAGGCTGGCTTTGAACCTCCTTCATCAGCTATGAACCTCTTGAACAGGATTATAGACATAGACCAGGCTGTGTGTGTGTGTGTGTGTGTGTATATATGTGTGTGTGCGTACGCGCGCGTGCGTGTGTGCGCGCGTGCGTGCGCACACGTGCGTGTGCCTGAGGCTTGAACTCTGGGCCTGGGCCCCGTCCCTAGGCTTTGTTTTTCAATGTTAGTGCTGAACCACTTGAGCCACAGCTCTACTTCTGGCTTTTTTGGTGCTTAGTTGGATATAAGAGTCATAGACTTTCTTGGCTGGGCTAGCTTTGAACTGTGATAGTCAGACCTCAGCCTCCTCAGCCTTCTTTTTTTTTTTTTTTTGGTTGTGGGGCTTGAATTCTAGGCCTGGGCTCTATCTCTGAGCTCTTCAGTTTAAGGTGAGTGCTCTACCACTTGAGCCACAGTGCCACTTCTGGTTTTCTGGTTGGTTTATTGGAGATAAGAACCACAGTGCCACTTCTGGGTTTCTAGTGGTTTACTGGAGATTAAAAATCTCACAGACTTTCCTGTGGTGCTGTGATCCTCAGATCTCAGCCTCCTGAGTAGCTAGGATTACAGACCTGAGCCACCAGCGTGACTCAGCTAGACCTCAGCCTTCTGAGTAATTAAGATTACAGGGGTGAGTCATCAGCACCTACCCAATTCCTGGTTTTTCTTTGTTTCTTTCCTTTATTCCTATTTTTGTAAACATAATTGTTGAGCTTGAATTGTTTTTTGGTAGTACTGGAATTTGAACTCAGGGTGTCCAGCTTTCTAGGCAGGAGGTCTATTGCTGAGCCACACCTCTAGACCAGGTATATATATATATGTAATCTTTTTCTATTTTCTTTTTGGCCGGCTATGGGGCTTGAACTCAGGCAGGGCCTGGGTGCTGTCCCTGAGCTTCTTTTGCTCAAGGCTAGCACTCTACCACTTGAGCCTCAGTGCCACTTCTGGCCTTTTCTGTTTATGTGGCATTGAAGAAAAAATCCCAGGGCTTCATGCACGTTAGGCAAGCACTCTACTACTAAGTCACCTTCCTAACCCCTAGACCAGGAATTTTCCTGGGCCTATCCATGCAGAATCTGAGGGGGAAAACAAGGATAAGAGGAAATGATTAGTGTGTCAGTGAGTTGAGGTGTGAAGACTGGAGCCCCACCCGCTTCCCTTGACTTCTATGGTACTGAAGCTGGGCCCAATTCTTGGCTGAAGAGGCTTGAAAACGGCCCAGGATTGGGTTCAGGTAAGCAAAGGGAGCCAGGAAGGGCAGAATGCTTGATTTCAGCGAGGAAGGCCTGTCATTACAATCAAACAAAAGCAAAAACCAAAAAACAATTTCGGTCTCCCGCATTCTCAGGCACTGGCCTGAGCTTTCAAGGCCCAATCCAGGACGACCTCGCCTGCAAGCAGCCAAACTGCCTCCCGGGGGGGGGGGGGGGGGGGGGGGGCGGGGAGGGGGCGCTATCCCTACGCGCAGTCGCAGTTCCCGCCTTGGTCCTTTGGCGCGGGCTAAGCGGATGGAGGAGGGGAGAGTCTCGTGGGTTCCAGCCTCTTCCAGCGCGGAGCTCCAGGTCCCGCCCCCCCGCGCCAGTTGCCAGGGAGCGGTTGCCATAGAGCCGAGCAGTTGTCCGCGTGCGCAGGCGGAAGTCCCGGATTGAGGCGCCGCCATTTTTTGCTGCCCGGACGCAGAGCGAGAGGCAGAGAGAGTCGGAGACGCTATCCGCTTCCATCCGTCGCGCAGACCCTGCCGGAGCCGCTGCCGCTATGGATGATCGGGAAGATCTGGTGTACCAGGCGAAGCTGGCCGAGCAGGCTGAGCGATACGACGGTGAGTTGGGGGGGCAATAGGGGGCTGGAATTCTCGGACCCTCTGCCGCCGCCCACAGAGGCCCGGGATCAGGAGACAAAATGGCGGCATCGTCTCGGAGCCTGGCCCGGGGACGTGGATTCGGAAAGCAGGAAATGGCGTGTGTGGGCTCCCGGAGCGATGGGAATCTCCCGGTCCAGGAATCTGACCTGGTCGGTGTCCTTATTCGCAGACCGTCTGGAGCCGGGAGGCCGAGACGAAAAGGGTGGAGGAGTTGGTTGTAAAATGGCGGCTAAGAGGGGGAGGGCGAGTCCCTGGGCGGGGGAGGGGGCGATGGCGGGTGCTGTTCCCCCGGGCGAGCATTCCTTCGGGGAGCTCCTGGGACGGTTGAGATGTGAGGGGGACACGGGGTGGCGGGGTGTGGGGGGGAAGCAACACCCGCCCCCCGGGGACGGAGGGGAGACGGGGAGCCGTAGCGCGGGCGCCTTTCAGGGAAATATGGCGGGTGGGGGCGGTGGCTTTTCCCCGGAGGCCGTGTGCGGGGCGGCGGCTGCTGTGGAGTCGCCTCAGAAAAGGGGGGATCCATCTGGAGTGGGGGGGACTTCTTTGGGCTGGGCCCGGGGCTCAGGCTTCGGGGAGGTTGAGGGCCGGGGGGTGGGAATCACAGCCGGCATCCTTGGGTGCCAGGCGAGCGGAGATGCTACGGTCGGATTTCTTCCCGGGCCGACACACGCACACACACACACACACGCACACGCACGCACACACACGCACACACACACACACACGCACGCACACACACACACACACACCTTGTGCCTGAGGGATTGGCGGGGTGGGGGTGGGGTGGGGGCGGGGGCTTTGCAACCTGGCCGCCTTCCGGGGGAGGTGCGGAAATGTCTCTCTCACTCTCCCTTTTCCTCTACTGGCCCAGGAGACCCCCCGATGTGCCCGCAATCTTTTTAACTGGGCACTGTGTTGGTGGATAGGATAGATCCGTAAAGCTGGGGACAGAAAACCCTGACTCCTTAGTTCTGCTCTGTCCGTGGTCATGGCATCAGTCTGCTCGTTTGTGAGAAATGACTTTGATCGGTACGCACTTTTTTGGGGGGCACACAGACCTGTTGAAAAATAATTTCACATGGCTACTTACTTTTTTAAACATTTTTTAAAAAGCCACTGTACTTTGAGTACACCAAGCGTGGAGTGCATGTTTTTAATTTCGTTTTGGGACGAAATCTATTCCAGGCACTCAACTGAGGCTTGGGATTTTTGGATTACATTATGAATGTAGGCAGTCTCATTCATTTTTTTTTTTTTTTGGGTCCGGTCGTGGGGCTTGAACTCTGGGCCTGGGCGCTGTCCCTCAGCTCTTCAGCTCAAGGCTAGCGCTCTACCACTTGAGCCACAGTGCCACTTCCGGCTTTTTTCTTTTTGCTTATGTGGTGCTGAGGAATCGAACCCAGGGCCTCAGGCTTGCAAGACAAGCACTACCACTGAGCTACTTTCCCAGCCCCTCATTCATTTTTTTCTTCAACATTTTAAGTAGGTTTTTTTTTTTTGGTACAGGTTTTAATAGTCCTCTTTGTTATTTTCTTTCTGGGCTGGGAATTGAACCTAGGGCTTCAAGCCTGCTCTACCCCTGAGCTACTGCACTCCCAGCCCCTATTCAGTTGATATTTCAGTGATTTTTCAGAGATTTATCAATTGCATCTGTTCAGTCAATCCTGGTCCCTTTTATTTCTTTTTTAAATCTTGCCTTCATTTTGGATTTAGATACTTAATTGTACAGCATCTGTTAACACAACGTGTTTACATACATGGTTCCAGTGGTTTTTATGCTTTTGTGGGTAACTGGCATGGTTAGAATCAAGTATTGTATGATCATTAGACTTAAAAAGCGTCTTATTTTCTGAAACATTATGTAGGGCCCTTCAATAGTAGTTTGGATCATATGGACTAGCCCTAGTGTATCAGCAGAAATTCAAGGATTTCAAAAGTAAGAGAAATGACCTGAAAAACTCAAAAGTTAAGGGAGATATTGAACTAAATTTAGTTGTACAGATTTTTCCTGTTGGGAAGGGGTGGGGATGTAAAATGAGTACAGCTCAAGGTCAGCTTTGTCATTATTTCAGTGTGTTTAAAAGCCAAACAAATGAAGGTGTACTAGTAATGAAAGTCTCTTTCCCTCCTCAGGGCCCCAAATAAGTTTCTTCTGATGCCCTTGAGAGGAAGAAACTTGGATTTCTATTTGAATACTTGATGTTCTGTGGGAATTTAGGCTTTTAGTATACTGGCTGAGATAAAGGAGATGTGTCATTGGGGCAGAAGTTCTTTTAAATTCATTAAAAAATGATTTGAAAGCTTATGATTGTAGCTTCCAAATAAATGACAGGTTAGTGATGATCATATTGGCATTTGAGTACTGAGGGTTTTTGACCAAGCCCTAATTATTCTAGGTAGGACTCTAGGCAGAGCCACATGGTTACTGTGTGTTTGTGTCCTCTTTATAAGTTAAAAGGTTGAGCATAAGAGATTCAGTGGAAAGGGAGAGAAGAGAGGAAATCACCAAAAACCAGTCTGTGTTCCCTCTTTCATTAATAACATGTAGTAATTGGGTTTTGTGGTGACAAAAAAAAAATCCTGTTGTATTAATGCCGTAACAAAAAGTTACCAGGTGTGGGAGTGTGGAAAGAAATGAGAGTGCTCCTGTGGTATTAGTCACTTAAAACTTACCAGGTGTGCAGTGTGAAAGAAAGTGAAAAGACATTGTAATGTTTTGGGCTTTTCGATAGTTTGATTGTTGGCCTCTAAATGTCCTTTTTTTGTTACTGCGGAAGGCTTACCTTTTTGCATGCTGTGGACAGCTGCCTAAAACCATTCTCCTTTTTAACGACCCTAGAGAATTGAAAGCAATTTATACTGATTGCTTAATGGTGCTAGAAGAGCTAAACTGTTCAGGAACTGGACAGTTTGAGGTTGCATATGGGAAATACTGAAGTTTTGGGCTAAAACTGTTAAATATGGCATCTAATCCCTTTAACAAGTCATACAGTCTAAGAGATAGTATTTATGTATTTATAGCCATAGTAAGCAGGTCTAATATTTGGTATTTTAGAAGCAAGTCTTAATTTTCCCATGTCTATGAACCACGTTGGTATAAAAAAGGAGGGTCTAGGGGCTGGGAAGGTGGTTCAGTGGTAGAGTGCATGCTCGAGGCCCTGGGTTCGATTCCTCAGCACCACATAAGCAAAAAGAAAAAAGCCGGAAGTGGCGCTGTGGCTCAAGTGGTAGAGCGCTAGCCTTGAGCTGAAGAGCCGAGGGACAGCGCCCAGGCCCAGAGTTCAGGTCCCACGACCAGACCCCCCCCCCCCCAAAAAAAAAAAGTAGGGTCTTGTCTTTTCTTTTTTTTTTTTTGGTACTGGGGATCGAACCCAAGACGTTGCACTTGCTAGGCAAGCGCTTTGCCACTGAGCTACATCCCAGCCCCAAAAAGTAGGGTCTTATTGGAAGATGAGAATGATTATTTTTCTCTTTGTGGAGAACAAAGGGAGTCAACATTAGAATTCCTGGAATGGTTGTTCGTTTTTTTGGCCAGTCCTGAGGCTTGAATTCAGGACTTGGGCACTGTTCCTGAGCTGCTTTTGCTCAAGGCTAGTATTCTACCACCTTAAGCCGCAGCATCACTTCTGGTTTTCTGGTGTTTGATTGGAGATGAGAGTGTCATGGCCTTTCCTGGCACATATCCCCTCCCTCCATATCTCAACCTCTGGATTGGCTATGGCTAGGATTACAGGCATAAGCCACTGGCACCCAACTGTGGTTGCTCTTTTTGTTCTTCCTTAATTTGTGTGTGTGTGTGTGCACGTGTCTGTGCTTGCGTGAGTTTATGGGGCTTGAACTCAGGGTCTAGGTGCTGTCCTTGAGCTTTTCTTTCTTTTTTCCCCCAAGGCTAGAGTTCTACCACTAGAGCTACATGTCAGTAAGTAGTAGGAACTACTCAGCCTCTTGAATAGGTAGGGTTACAGGCATAAGCCACTGGTGCTTGGCCTCTTTCTAATCTTTACTCTCAAAATTGGTTCCATGTGAGGTGGAGTAATTCCCCTTCATACTGGGGTTTGAAATGAATTTAGGTCCTTGACCTTGATAGACAAGCATTTACACTTCCAGTGATTGGTGGGGTAAAATTTATGAACAATCAGAATACATCAACATCAAAATGCATCTGTTCTCAGTCACTAGCTTGAGAATTATTTTAAAGCATCAAAAGCTCACCTTGAGCTTCTGCTAAGTGAACATGCTTTAAATTCATTTATTATGAAACAAACCATAATATAAGAGCCTTTAGGTTAACTACCAGTTATTTTTTGTGCTGGTCCTGGGTTTGGACTCAGGGCTTAAGTATTGTCCCAGAGCTTCAAGTGGTTGGCTAGCATTCTACCACTTGAGCCACAGCTCCACTTCCCACTTTTTCTGTGATTAGTTGGAGATAGGAGTCTCAAGGAACTGTCCTTGAAAGCCTCATGTCTGGGTCTCCTAAGTAGCTAGAATTACAGGCCTTATGCATTGGTGTCCAGTCTTCCAATTCTCTGTCTCTGTCTCTGTCTCTCTCTCTATTGTTGGTCAAGGGGCTTGAACTCTGGGCCCATGGGCTGTCCCTCAGCTCTTCAGCTCAAGGGTAGTCCCGTTTTCTGGTGGTCAATTGGAGGTAAGAGTCACAGACTTTGTTGCCCAGGTTGGATTTGAACCTTGATCCTCAGATCTCAGTCTTCTGAGTAGCTAGGATTACAGGTGTGTGCCACCAACACATGGCAGGTTAAGATTTTAATACTGTGGAAATTCTCCAAGCACTTGTCATGCTTTTACATAAGATCATAATTTAAACTCTGATATGGGAAGAACATGGTCATGTAATAGGTGGAACAAGTTTTAGTAAGTGCAAGGAAGCACAAGGAAATACATAGAGCTGGATGAGGTGGCTTATGTATACTTCCTGCTACTGAAGAGGCTGAGGTGAAGGG